TATATATATATATATATATATACACACAATTAATTTATATATTTTTATAGATATAGAAGCAGCATATGCAATAGCGTTGATAGCTGGATGGATACATGTATGGAAGGAAAAAAATTCTGATTATAGTATTGATTTGTTGTCATTTTCGGATCCAAAATCTTGGTATGACAATGAACCACTTACACCTACAAAAGTAACCATACATGATTATTATAGTGTTCAGCCGACTGAAGACGCCGAGAAAAAAGACTCTGAAAATCTTGATCATGTACTCAAAAACATCAAGATGAAACCTCAGAATACAGTTGTAGTCAATTGTCTGGGTTCCTTGATTTTATATGTGGGTTTAGGAAAGACTATTAGATTTATAGAGAAGTTAAGTAAACAGGTGTCACAATTGATATGCATTTATCGGAGGGATTTCATGCAAACTGAAGTACCTGCAATAGAGACTTTTGGCACTACCTATGTCAAGCTAGAAAAGTTTACAGGAAACAGTTCTACAAACAACATAATTTATATTGCACAGCTCATTCATAGAAAGTCTGGTGGTTCCGTGATATGTCAAACAGAAATAATAAAGCAAGATATTGAATTTTATCAAATCACTGCTGAAAAGGTTACAGTACCAACAAATGTTTGCAAAACAGAAACAGAACCCATAAAAGTTGAAACATCATTTAGGATAGAAATGAGTGCTCAGGAAATGGAGCAAAGAGACAAGACACCTTTACCTTATACTTTGAATGCAACGAATACATCAAAGATATTTTATCAACCTGAAGATGTAGATGATATAGATGAAGAAGATCCTGATGATGATTTGTGTATATAAGTTTATAAAAATCAAAGAATTTATATGAAGACTAAAATATGTTTTATATTTAAAATATATTTGATATATACATATATATTACACAACACCCACACACCACACACACACACACACACACATTAAGTGTGGGAAAAAGTTCGTGGCGTTTTTCCCGTTAGATGGCATTAAAAAACTTTCCCACACTTAATAATATATATA